TGTGCATGTGCCTGTGAGCAAACACACATATGCACATATCTATACTCAGATGCTTACAGCACACATACACCATACATACGTGCACACACACATACATTTTAAAATAAAATTAAATTAAAAATTAACTTCTCCGTCAAGATTATCTAGAGTTTAGTCATTGAACTGTGAGCCTTTTTTCTTGATTTATTTGTTTTCCTCTGTGTGTGTGTGTGTGTGTGTGTGCGCGCGCGCGCGCGCGCGTACCTGCACACATGAAATTCAAACTTACGTCCCCATGCTTATACGTAAATATGTTTTTGATGCCTGCTTTAAGTCTTTGTCATTCTCAAAGCTGCTCCCACGCTTCCCAAACTGTAGCTGCTGTCTGTGTTCTCCTAATGAGTGTCATGGGTTTTTGTTTTTAGTTTTTAGTAATTTTTAATTGTTATACTAGACATTACGGATGATACATTATAGAGGTTTTAAAGTCCTATTCTCTTCTGTGGAATATTGATTTTTTTTTTTTTATGAGCAATTCTGTTAGCATCTGGTCATCTTGAACTTGTGTAGGCGTGGCTTGATAGTTTGTTATTGAGATCTCAGGAAAACACTCAATTTTCAAACTGTCTCCTGTGAGTCTTGTCGGAGTTTGGTGTAAGTCTTTGTTGGGATTGATTTAGAATGGGCATTACTTTGAGTTGCCTTTATTGCTAACAAGATACTTGGCCTTTTTGATGCCCCAAACGGCTGTCAGGGGGTTAGACAAGTAATTATAGCTATCACCAGTCTTTCATTTACAACATCCCTAAGCATTCTTTGGCCATTCATGTGTCTTATTTATTCTTAACCTAAATTAGGTGCTGTCTGGTAAACCATGAGCAAGTCACTCTACACCGTCAAACCTTCAACCGGGGCTGACAAGATTGCTCGGCTGGTTAAAGCTTTTCCCCGTGGCCTTTGTTTGGTAGGCTTGCTTGGTTAGGGCGGCCTTTCCCACATTGGGATTATAAATAGTTCATTGTGTTTTCTTGAGAATATTTTAGGTTTTTCAAATTGTCTTAAATGTATCTGTATAAATGATACAAGAAGCTATACTTTATTGAGCGTTTCTTTACTTTTCCAAAAGTTGTTCCTAACAACATTTAATAGTTTACTCTTTTCTCACTGATTTAAAATTCCCCCTTCCTTATGCCAAGTAAACAGTTTTCAGACCCTGTCCTGTATTCTGGTGTTTGAGTTATCAGACCCTGTACCACACTGCTTAAATAAGTGTTTGTTTACTATAACTGAGCACATCAGTCAGTAGTTACTGCGTGGATTTCTTTATAATTAACTTTGGGGTTGTTTTATCCCATCCAATAAAACCTTCCTAACAATTTAACTTAGAAATAAATTTATTGTTGGTGATGTTGTGCGATGGGGTAAAAGCTATGCACTTACTTAGTGCAAAGCTTTGAGAAACTGCAGAAATCTGTCTTTCATGCCTCTAATGACACACAAACTAGGGTCTGAATTTCTATCCTAGGAAGAGTTACTTAAATGTTTAATAACTTTTCTAGCCAGAGTATCTTCGTTTGTAGGTGAAAAGGATTCAAGTGGCAAAGTTATCAGTCACCCTGTGCAGTTTACTGTAAAAGTATGCACAAGGTGACATAGTGAGCAAGGTGCTGCTGCAGTTTGCATAGCAATAGCAGAGGTATACTGAACAACTCTGTGTGGGGGCAAAGTTTTCTTTAAATTTTTTAATGTAAAGTTTAATCTCAAGGGAATAACCTGCTTAAAAGAACCAGAGAAAGGAATGCTGGGATGAAACGCTGTTTTTAGACATTCAACACTAGGTCCAATAAATAAAAAGTAAAATGAGCCCCACAGTACCAGGTCACACCACACAGTATAGGAAAGATGAAGCAAGAGCTTAATAACTCGCTGAGGTACAGAGAAAGATTTCATGGCAGTGAGAATTGGCAAGGCAGAGTACCAGAGAGGATGTAACTGTGCAGGGGGAAAGAGCCACATATCTGCAAAGGGACCATCTTGAAGCATCACATGAATAGTGATGGGCCCAGACATGAGTGGAAACACCTGAGATCAGGGAATGAATCGTCTTTTTAGCCTTATAGAGAGTCGGGACTAGTTTGTGCTCTCATTAGCCAGGGGTGGAGGGCAGCTCGTAATCTGTGGGACATTGGACGTAGATGAGCTGCACTTTTTTTTCTGGAGATAAATTAGCCCTGGATCACAGGTTGCTCTGGAGCTGTTCTCACTGCATTGGAAAACAAGCTCAAAAGAATCAGCTGGTTCCAAGTAATCTATCTGAACCTAAGAAAAAGCACAGCACTACTGAAATTAATGTGAAAAGAGCAAAAATCCATTGATGTATTAGTCACTGTGGGCTGCACTGGGGATAGAACAAGTAAGTGAAGGAGTGATGGAAGAAAAAGAAGTGAGCAAATGGATGGTGGAGAAATGGAAGAGAACCAGCCAGGTTATGTGCTATGAAAAGAGGCGGAACTGGAGAGGCAAAGGTGGTTGCTCCTTAGGAAATGTCCATCAGCAGAGCAGTAACAGATACAAGTGCCAGTGGGCCTCTGCCTTCTTCCTGTGAGAAAACTGACCTCTGTGTGAGTCTCTGTGCTTCCCAGAGCTGCATCCTCTCCAGAAGGAGGAGCAGGACCAGCAGAGTAGAGACCCACAACTGACTCAACATGTCTGCTGGGACCTGGCCGATAGAGAGGCGTGGGTGAGCCACCCTAAGGCATAAGTGAAGAGCTGGCCCCGCCCTCACTGGTGGGGTGCTGGGTAACGGCCACACCCCTCACCTGGGAAGTGTAGGAGAGCTGGCGGCCAGACCAACTTAGCTGCCGCCCAGTCCCACATCCAGGACCTTGAGTTAGCCCACCCCAACCTTTCCAACTATGAACAGCCAGTCCTGCAGAATGAAAGCTTCAGGATATCCCTGACGCCGGGCAACAATATAATGCCTGAGAGGAGTCCCTGTAAAGATCCAGTATAGAAAGTGTGGCAGAGGCCAAGGCCTTAAACCAGTAAGACCAATGACTTACTGCAGTGAACATTTGCAAGTGAAGCTGTTTGGACACAGGGGTATACTGTGTGACACACTGCAGCTTCCAAAGCAAGATGAATTCTTTTGTTTTACTTAGGGGGTGAGGTTGCAAGGGTAGAGGTAAGATATGGAGGGATGGGAAAATGAGTGGGATTGGGGTGCATGATGTGAAATTAAACAGCAACAAACCAAGTAATCAAATTAAAAAATGGGATACAGAGCTAAACAGAGGCTTCTCAATAGAGGAATATCGAATGACACTTAAAGAAATGCTCAACATCCTTAGTCATCAGGGACATGCAAATCAAAATGACCCTGAGATTTCACCTTACACCCATTGGAATGGCTAAGATCAAAAACTCAAATGATAATACATGCTGGAGAGGATGTGGAGAAAGGGGAACCCTCCTCCATTGCTGGTGGGAATGTAACCTTGTACAACCATTTTGGAAACCAATCTGGTACTTCCTCAGAAAATTAGGAATAGTACTACTTCAAGATCCAGCTGTACCACTCCTAGCCATATATCCAAAATATGCTCAAGTACACAACAAGGACATTTGCTCAACCATGTTTGTAGCAGCTTTATTCATAATATCCAGAAGCTGGAGACAACCCAGATGTCCCTCAACTGAGGAATGGATACAGAAACTGGTACATTTACACAATGGTATACTACACAGCAATTAAAAACAAGGAAATCATGAAATTTGCAGGCAAATGGTGGGAACTAGAAAAGATCATCCTGAGTGAGGTATCCTAGAAGCAGAAAGACACACATGGTATATACTCACTTATAAGTGGATATTAGACATATAATATAGGATAATTGTACTAAAATCTGTACACCTAAAGAAGCTAAGCATGAAGGAGGACCCTGGGTAAGATGTTCAATCTTCATTCTGAAAGGCAAATGGGACAGGCATCAGAAGAGGGAGAAAAAGAAAAAAGAATCAATTTTTTAAAAGTTAGGGGGAAAAAAAAAAAAAAGCAAGGACCATGAGATGGGGGGGGGGGGGGAGAAAACAAAAAAACGCATAAGTGACATTGGGGTGGGTGTGTGTGTGTGTCATTTTCTGTGAAGAGACTATGACCAATGAAACTCTTATAAAAGAAAACATTTAACCAGGGGCTTGCTTATGGTTTTAGAGGCTTAGTCCATTGTCATCATAGTAGGGAACACATGACAGCAGGCAGCCACGGTGCTGGAGAAGTAGCTGAGAGCTACATCCTGGTCCACAAGCAGAAAAATTGGGTCTGGCATGGGCTTTTGAGACCTCAAAGTGCACCCTTCCTCCCCTACTTCTCCTACCTGTGATATAATTCCTCTAACAAGGCCACACTATTTCAACAAGGCCATGCCTCCTAATCCTAAATTTTTCAAACAGTTCTGCTCCCTGGTATGGAAGCATTCAAACATATGAGCCTGTCAGGGCTATTCGAATTCAAACCACCACTGTATTTATTATCTATATAAATAAATAGAATATGTACATGCTTCATTTATGTATTTTAATCTGTATGAATTCCCAAAATAATATGCTAAGTAGTCAGTATAGACACAAACACATACCATCTAATAACATTTATTTGGAATTTCGGAAAAGGCAAAACCAAGCCAGTGTGGCTGCCACGGCCAGAAGTATAAGGCAATCACCTGAAAAGATAACAGTGTTGGGAAGGAGCTGTATTATAATAACCTGGCTGGCTTCAGACTATACATTTGCTAGGATTTATGTTACACACTGAGAATGTGTGGATTTTACTGTGTAGAAATGCTCTCACAGATAATCATATACATGAAGAATTGAGGAAATGTAAGGATGAATCAGACATGAATGAACTGAAAAAACTCAAGTAAAAAACAAAATAAAATTTAAAACATTAGTTTTTTTATGATGTTTAAAATAGCTTTACTTATCTGCTACATTTTTTTTTTTAATGTTTAAATTATTAGGTTGAACTGAAACGGCAATACAATGACCACCACTCAAAACTGAGAGGTCTTTTGCCTGGCCGTCAATGGTATGAAATTCAAGCATACAGAGCCTTAAATCAGGCTCTAGGCAGGTGAGTGAAGTAAAATGGAGTACAGTGTTACTGTCTGTGAATTTTGTCTGTGCCCAAGAAGAGGAAGTAACATTTGCTACTTTTAAAAATCAGCATGAAATTTTATTTGTCTTGAACTCTAGGAAAGTATGCTTTTTGCAGATGTCAGAAGTGGGAGCTGAGAACTGTGGCCAGTGCTTTACCAACTGAGCCATCGTTATTCTTTCCAGCCTGTGGAATAACTTTAAATTAACATCTCAAAAAAATTATTGTAGGACATAAAGTTTCAGATTATAAACACAAAGCAGATTTTGTGCAAACTGGTTTAAAGATTATTATTCTGTATATGTGACATAATTATCCATTTTCCAGTGAAGCTTTAAGATGTTCAGGTAATTCAAATAACAGAAGCGGGGTAAGGATAAAGTCATGACAGGAGGAAAATTTGACATATTTAGAGCTCAGGAGATCTGTAACTAACAGGTATCTGACCCAAACAGATCTGGAAAAGATTTTTCTCAGGTGTCAAACGCACTCACATTGCCCAAAAGTGACAAGATTGCGTCTATGCTCATTTACATGAAGCCAGTGACATAGGACATTGGGTAGATTCATTCCTGGAACACATCACTCACGTTCCTCATAGTTTCAGATTTTGTGTATTCTCTTCAAACCCATGACGTTGTAAAGCTGCTGTCTTGTTGCCCTTCCTGTCTGGACAGCCCATGTTCCTTGGTACCTACTTGTACTGCATGTTTCCTCTTCCTGATGACTGCCTATTTTTGTTTGGATTGCAATATTCAGTAATAGTTCCTAGGAAAGCTTGAACATATACTTTAAAATTCTTGACTTTTATTTGTTATACTTATTTTTGTGAAAATAAGTGTTCTTACCTCCATTGATTTTTTTTTTTACTTTAATATAAAAAGCACCTTGAACTTTAAGAAAACTTGTGAAGTATGAGTTCCACTTGCATTCTTTATGATTTATAAACTCTTTGTTACATATTACCCCATTTGGTTCTTCAGTTAGTAACACCTAAGAATGCAAGTGAGAACATCATCATTTAATTTTCTTGTTTTATTTTCAAACTTTAATCTGAAACTAAATTAGGTCACATAGTTATTAAATGACTCTTCACCTGCACTTTTAACACTGCAGACTTGCTTTTTCATCCATATTTCCTACCTCGATCCACTAACATTTTCACGATTAAACATAACTATATTGCTATTAACTCTGTCATATTCTGGAGTGACTTTCTTCCATCTTGCCACAGAAGCCTCTGTGACATTCATACGGCAGAGTAACAGTTACAACCTGAAGTCCTGTCCTACGTGAGTGCCTTCTGTTTCTTCATCTGGGGTTATTTATACCCTAGCACACACATGAGACTGCGCACATATCTCTACTGTAGCGTGTATGTCACCATCAGGTAATAGCTTGTTTATGTATATGTAACCTTTCCCCTCATACACACACACACACACACACACACACACACACACACACACACACACTTACATTCTCACCTCCTACATCTCAGCTTGACATGGATGCTTCAGACTCGCTTGGCGAATGGTGGGAAACATAAGGTCTGCTGCTTCACTACTGTTCTTCATTGCTGGCCAGCTTCTGGACCTTCAAAATGTTTGGGTTTTTGTTTTGTTTTGTTTTGTTTTTCAAAGTACCACAGAAGTCATGCACTTGAAATATACAATAGTATGGCTTTGGTATTTTTATTACTTGTATTGTCATTTTATTGATTGTTTTTTTAGGGACACCATCAGCAAATGGCAATTTGTCACAAAGAACATACACTTCTAATAACAAAAAGTTTTTAATGAAGAAATAACAATCGGGTGAATTTTACCTCATTTGATAAAAGCTCGTGTGTGCTCATTGGTACAAAGGTGTCTATAATTTGAAGCACTCTTAGGGGAGACACATGTAGAAGAAGTGAAGTAAACAGAAACCGATCAACTGTTTTAATGCTGCACATTCGAGAGGGGCGTGGGGCACATGTCCATGTGGAGGCCCAAGGGTGACGCTGGGCGTCGCCCTCTGTCGCTCTCCACTGTGTCTTTTCAGTGGGGTCTCTCCTTGTCTGTGGAGCTTACAGCTAGCCAGACAGAACAGCCAGAGAACCCCAGGATGTCCCTGGCTCCACCCCTCACGCTGGGGTTCCAGGAGGTACTACCATCCTGGCTTTTATGTAGGTGCTGGGGATCCGGGCTTCAGGACGTGCCCCATAAGCATTTCACCAACTGAGTTATCTCCCCAACCTCTCATTGTCGCTTTTTAAACGTTATATGGACCTTATAATGAATGATCTGGAGTAATGAAGTCTGTAAAATATAATAATAGTCTTCTGAAATATACCAGATGGTTTACAACCCAGTCACAAGTTAAGAGTCTTCTCACTAGTCCACTTTACTTAAAGTATAATATTATTTCTCAAGTGAGCATGATTCATTTGAGCAAGGCAGTATGAAAACATGGAAAAAGAAAAGATGAAACCTTTTTTCTCCTAATGTTTTATTAATTTAAATACCTCTACCAAAAGCCACTTTAGACATAAAGTGAACCCAAAATAGATTTCCTTGGCTTCCTATTGATTTTCAACACCCTTCTACAGTATTGACAGTATTTAACTTCTTCCTGTTCTGCCTTACATTATATGATCTGTTGTCCTAGAAACTTTAGCTTACTTTAAAATAATGTCAAAGAAGGATGTCATATGAAATTTTAAAATGTTAAACTGTAAAAGTTAAACATTTATTTATCTTCATTCTCTCAAAATCCCATCTCAGTGAAGGAGTAAAAACGTCAAACTTCAGAGTGAGAAAGAGGGAGAAGAGAGACGGTGGCAGACAGAGATCGTTACATTTCTCATTCTGAAAATCAGTTGAGCGACTAAATGACTTAAACAGACCGAACTGGTTACAATAATAAATAGATGATACACCATTTTCTTAATTATCCCTTGGGAAATCTGGCTTTATTTTCAATGTTTTATACACATTTTATTGTCCCCTTTTTCGTAGGTGTATTCGACACAAAAATGATTGGGGAGCTCTTATCCTAGTGGATGATCGCTTCAATAACAATCCAAACCGTTATACATCAGGTAAGACTCTCTAAGGTAAAAATTACTAATGGGCTTTGTTTTCCCTTACTGGTTTTTAAGAAAAACTACGTGAGATCTGCTTCTTTGTGCAATACTACCTATAAACAACTGTACATTAGATCTATGGAACTTATAGTCTTAATACCTGAGACTCTACACTTCTTGGCCATCAGTGCCCCATTTTGTCCTCCCCGTACAGTAACAACTGCCGTTTCTCCTTTGAGTTCGGCAACTTCAACAGCTCGTGTAAAGTTGAATCATGAAGTATTTGTCTTCTGTGACTGCCATGTTTCACTTAGTATACTATCCTCAAGGTTTCTCCATCTTGAATTATCCAAAAAACTTTCTTATTGTCTATGGCTGGGTAATGCAGTGTTTGCAGGGTGCATTTCTCTATCCATCTCTCTCTTTTTTCCTCATTTTTTTTCTCTTTACATCCCTCCTCCCCTCCAAGTCCCATTCTTCTCTCATCCCTTCCCTAGCCTTCTCCCCTTTTCCTCAGAAAAGTAGAGCTCCCTTTCCCATCCACCCCAGCTCATCAAGTTGCATCAGGACTGAGCATGTCCTCTTCTCCTATGGCCTGGTAAGGCAGTTCCACCAGGGGAAAGTGATCAAAAAGCCGGCAAGTAAGTTTGATGAAGTCCACATTTCCCTTACTAGAGGACCCACATGAGGCCTAAGCTGCTCATCTACTACACCTTTGTAGGGGGTCTAGGTCCAGTCCGTGCATGGTCCTTGGTTGATGCTTCATTTTCAGCAAGCCCCTCTGGGCCCTGTTTGGTTGGCTTTGTTGGTCTTCTTGTGGAGCAACTGTTACCTCCAGATCCTTTTCTCTTTCCTCCCACTTTCCCTATTCATTGCCCAGTGCTTGGCTGTTAGTCTCGGCATCTGTTTTGAGGTGCTGCTGGGTAGGACAACTCTGTCAGGCTCCTGACTGCAAGTTTAGCAGAGTATTGTTCACAGTATTGGGTTGGCACTCTCTGATAGGATGGGCCTTTGGTTGACTCAGGCATTGGTTGGGCATTCCCTCAATTTCTGCTCTATCTGCTCCATCTTTATCCCTGCACATCTTGAAGGCAGGGTAACTTTTGGGTTGAAGTTTCTGTGGGTGGGTTGGTGTTCCCCTCCCTCTGCTAGGAGACTAGTGTAGTTAGTGGGTGTCCTCTTCAGTCTCTATGACCTCTGCTCCTAGGAGTCTCTGCTTGAGTCCCCTTCATATCCTCTCAGGAGCCTACCCTGACTTAGGTCTCCATCTTGTTTCAGAGATACCCCAACCCTCAGTTTCTCTTTTCTCTACAGACCTTCTGTCCTCTCACCCTCATTCTTCCCAGGTCCGATATCTACCCTCATATCTCTTTTTGCCCCCTCTCCTACCTCGTTCCCTCTCTTCAGCCACTACCTCTGTCTAGTCTATCACCCTTTCTGAGTGAGATTTATGCACCAAAGAAGATAAGAACATAGAGGATCCAAGGGAGGATGCATAATTCTCTCTTTATCTCTAAGTGGGCATTTAGGTGGGTTCCACCTGTTGGGTACTGGGGACCACATGGAACATGGTGAGTGGACACTTCTTTAGCATATTGAAGAGTGAGGTCACTGGATCATACGTAAATTCTAGATCAACAGATACCTATGAAGAGCAATAAATTGAAGATTTCCTCTTTTTTTTTCTCCTATGATTTTTTATAGTGTCGGGCTTAGGCTTAATTCAGAGTGGATTTTCAGTAAATTTTTTGTGTGCGGTTAAGAATAAAGATCTAGTGGTGGCACACGCCTGTAATCCCAGCCCTGGGAAGGCATAGACAAGCAGACCCCTGTGAGTTCAAGGCCGGCCTGGTCTACAAAGGGAGTTCTAGGACAGCCAGGGCTACACAGGGAAACCCCATCTCAGGGAAGAAAAAAAAAAAAAAAAGAATTAAAGATCTAATTTCAACTGTTTGCATATGCATGTCCTGTTTTCCCAGAATCTTTTCCCTTATTTCTTTTTGGTTTGTTGAGACAGTGCTTTGCTAGGAAGCTAAAGCTGATCTGAAACTTTCTAGATTTTCAGTTGGAACCATTTGGGGGGGGGGGTGCATCCAAAGACTGTTTTACAGCGGTCACATATCAGATATTTACCTTCAATCATAACAGCAAAATTACAGTTATGAAGTAGCAATGAAAATAATTTTATGGTTGGGAGGTCACCACTGTAGAGGGAGTTTGGCTACTTTATTGGATTCTTTTTACCTACCATCCTTCAGCACCCCAATCCCTTCCAACCCCCTAACACCAGGTAGGAGAGAAAGAAGGGTAGAGGGGGAAGAGGCTGCAGATCTCTTTAGATTATTTGCTGCCGATTAGGAGTGTTGCATTTCTTGAGACAAATCCAGTGTTCATTGTCAGGATATCTCCAGCCAGCGAACAGCAATCAGCAACCAGCAAAAGCAGCAGCAGGGAGCAGCAACAGCAGGGAGAATTCCATATGTAAACTAGCTTCAGCTCGCAAAAGCATGCCCCTGCCAGAGCATGAGACAAATAATAGTTAGCTGCTGTGCACAGTCTGAAGCAGCACCATGGCCCTCACCTGAGAGTAAAACAAAAACGCATTCACATAACTTTAAAACAAAACAAAATTCTCACTATACGCCACAACAGGAGGAACTGCCTTAAAAGGTTACAGCATTAGGAAGGTCGAGAACCACTTGTTTAGAACATCCTATGTCTTAATGAGCTTCCCCTAATAAGCTGTACAACCCCTTCTGCTTTGTTAAACATTTACTTGTGTGTGTGCGTGGGGGGGGTATACAGTGTTTGGGGGGATGCGTTCATGCGTGAGCCTGGGCACAAACATGCCGTGCATGTGCAGGGTTAGAGGACATCCTAGGCTATCTGTCCTCACCTTCTACCTTGTTTGAAGCAAGGTCTCTGTTGTTCCTCACCGTGGACAGTTTAGCTGGACCAAGGGCTTCTGGAGATTCATCTGCCTCCCGTCATCCCTGTAGGAGGGCAGAGGTTGCTCATCTGGCTTTTACGTGGGTTCTGGGAATTTAAACTCAGTTCCTTACTGTTATGGTAAGTGCTTTTACCCACTGAGGCCCCTCCCCTCTCCAAACATCTATTTTCCTTTCACCAACATTTATGTTAAAGTCACAAATTAACCCTTCTAAAAGTATGTATCTACTCATTTTTTTATACTGATTATTATTTTTATACCTTTAGATTCTCTCCGAAAATTAAAAGTGGTTTGTGATACTTGGATGTAGCTCAGTGGTCGAGTACTTGCCTGGCATACATGGGTCTTGGGTTCAGTCCTCAGCACGGGAAATGGGGGAGGAGGTGTCATTACTGTACTTGAGTACTTGGTAACCGTCTATACATTTACCTTTTCCAGCAGGCTGCGCTTTCACGTGCTACTGTGTTCCCTTACTAGTTACGAAGAAGTTCTAGTGGTCATGAGCTCCTTGGCCTTTATAATCTGGGAAAGTCTTTATCTCACCTGCATTTGGATGGACAGTTTTGCCAGATATAGCATTCCTGTTAGTAGTTTGGGACTTTTCTTTTCAGCACTTTGAATATATTATCTCATTCCCTTGTAGCTTGTGAGATTTCTCCTCCGATATCATTGACAGTCTTTGGAAGCCTACTTGCATATGATAGATTGCTTTTCTCTTGCTGTTTTTAAATTTTCTGGGGCTTCCTTAGACAATTCGATTAGAATCTTCATTTTTTTTTTTTATTGCTTTTTTTAAAAAAGAGACTTACTCTGTGTACTAAACTGGCCTAGAACTCACTGTATACCCCAGGGTGGCCCTGGACTTATAACAATTTGTCTACTTGGCTTTCCAAATACTGGTATTACAAGCATGAAGCCATTTTGCAATACTAAACTTTTTGTTTGTTTTTGCTGTTTTGAGACAAGCTCTTACTCTGCAGCCCTGGCTGGCCTAGAACTTACTATGTAGAACAGGCTAGCCTCAAATTCAGAAATCTACTTACCTCTACATCCAGAGTGCTCTAATTAAAGGTGTGTGCCTGTATTTGTTTTGTTTTGTGAGCTTCAAGCAGCTTAGACTGGCTTTAAATTTGTTCTGTAGCCAAGATCAGATTCAAATTCTTAACCCTCCTTTCCCCTTTCTATAAATGAGCTTCCTAACTGTTGCACTTCTTCTAGGACTCAAAATAACACTCTGTTCTGCTTAATGGTTGTCCCATAACTCCCTTAGGCTTGCTTCACTTTTTTTTTCCCCCGTATTTGTTCTCTGACTGTGTGTTTAGACGATCTTAGAGTTCGTTAAGGTCTGTCCTCCACCTGATCATATCCATGGTTGAGCCCGCCAGGCATTTCTACTCCAGAATTTGGTTCTTTTGTTTTTTCATTCTTTATCTCTTTGATGATTAATTCCCACATGCGCTCTTACTCCCCCTCCTTTCTCCTGCTCTCATGCTTTTCGCAGTTCGCTTGTTCTAGGATGGCACTATGTCCCATGTGTCTTTGTAAAGTTGCTTTGGCCTCTATACATGTGATAAGACAGTTGCCTCTCAGTGTTCTTACTAAACCAGCATCACACAGAAGCCCTTTGCTCATCAGCCTTGCTAGGCAGCCCCTCAGATCTTTTGTTCAGATCTACTGTCTCTGGACTTCTGGATACCTGATGAGATGGCTAGTTTCTCTCTTTGCCCTTTTCCTCTCCCTGGATATCAAAGATCTCTTGTACACGTGTGTCTGTCTCTTGTATTGTGAGGCCTCTAAAGCAGCAGCATGTTCCCCATCCAGCTCTTGTTCCCAGTGGCCTCTGTGCCACATAACGTCTGTACTCCCTAATGACTAAGGTAATCTAGTCCTAGGCAGTTCAGTGGAAAGCCAGCATCCATCACACACTAGTCTCTTTCCTCAAGTGCAGCTGGGCTGTACCAGCCTCTGTCTCCTGTACTATCATTCTGGAGCAGTAGCCTTGTGCAGCTCTTTTGTGCTCGGTAGTCTCCAGGCATGAGTCTGCCTGTTCATATCAGCACTTCAAGACAGACAGGACAGAAGCAAATGCTTCCGAATTGTGGGCCTACTATCTGGTCTTCTCTCCAGGGATATCACTCCCAGTCTCCACGATAGGGACTATGGTGAGAAGGTTCCACACATTTCCCTGCTTGCTTTGATGCAACTGGTTTTGTGCTAGCCTGGGTTCCAGAACATTTTAACTCGTGTCTGGATTTCTCATAAAGGGATTTGGTCCATGAATTATTGAATCCCTGTTTCTATAGGCGGAACATGAGATCTGGGGTTTCCTATTCTGTCATCATAAATCTTTTGTATTTTATAGCTTCTCTTTTTATTACTTATTTGTGTATGTATGTCTGTGTGTGTGCCTGTGTGTATGTGTATGCACAGCACACACACACATGGGAATACAAATGCATGTGTGTACGTGTGCGTGGATGTCAACCTTGGGTGTGGTTCATCAGAAGCTGTCAGCTTGTTTTTTGAAAGAGGGTTTCACTGGCGTGGGGCTCGCCATTAGGCTGGACTGGCCGGGCAGCAAGTCCCAGGGTTCTTCATGTTTCCACTTCCTCTGCACCGGGATTACATGTGCCGTCACTCCCAGCTTTTTATGTGAGTTCTAAGGGCTACATTCAGGTCTCCATATTTGTCAAGAAGCACTGTATTAACTAAGCCATATCTCCAGAGCTGTATAGCTTCATTTTTAAAGAGGAATAATTAAAATGAGAATTTGAATCATGTGATCAAACATGAGGAATTCCCAGTAACCAGAATCAAGCTTGCTTTCAGGGAGCTGTAAAGATTTAAAGCAGAAAATGTTGCTTTTAGGTTTTTTTTCTGCACTTGTTTGTGTCTGAGCAAAGCAGCGCCTCAGACCCAGCGGCAAGTGAAAGAAACACTAAGTACTGGTGTTCAGTCAGCAGGTGGAGCTCAGGCCCTGCCACGTGTTCAGGGGCCAGCAGCCACGGCTGCCAAAAAGACCTCTGATTATTCAAAAAGGTCAAAATAAAGAAACTATAGTACTAAGATTTTTCAGTTGCAGAGAATTTCACATTTTCATTTGATATCATTTCTTTTCAAAATAAAGTTAATGTTAGTGCTTTTCCTTAAAAAAAAATAAAAACTCAAATATTTTATTTCAAAGTGCTTCCGTACTTTGGTAATATGAACATGATGCATACATTTATTTTAATAGCAATTTTTATTTAAATTTCATTTTCATAAATAGTTAACTCAGAAAAATTCTATTTTAAGAACACTAAAGAAATCTACTTGAGAGCTGGAGAGATGGCTCAGTGGTTAAGAGCACTGGTTGCTCTTTCAGAGGTTCTGAGTTCAATTCCCAGCAACTACGTGCTATCTCAGAACCTTCTATAGTGAGAGCTGATGTCCTGTTCTTTCATGCAGATGTACAGGAAGACAACACTCACATACATAAATTAATAAATATTTTTTAAAAGAAAGAGATATACTTGAGATTACAACATAGTAATTTAGTTTACATGAAGCCCTGTCCTACCTTCTTTAAGTTTGTAGTGTCATGGTGACTTTTTAAGCTCTTTGTTGTGGGGCCAGGGAGATGGCTCAGTGGATAAATGCTGTTCAAGCATGAGGACCTGAGTGCAGATTCTCAGCACACTTGTAAAAGCCAGCTTCTGCGCATTCATTTGTGATAACAATGCAGGGAAGGAGACTAGCCCATCTTGGAAACTTGCTTTGGCCAATCAGTGTAGCCAAAACTGTGAGCTGGTGGTTCAGTGAGAAGAGAATTTTTCTCAAAAAATAAGGCGTTGCATAATACAGGAAGACACCCAAAATCGGCCTCCAACCCTCATGAGCACACATGCACACAGGCTTGTGCCCAAATGAATACACCGTTTCAAAAGACAATGCCACTTTTTTGCAGCATTATCCAGGGAATATTTATTTCATGATAATCTAGGTATTCTGCTATTGTTGTTTGTTTTTCAAGAAGGTGTTTCTCTGGGTAGCCCTGGCTGTCCTGGATTCGCTTTATAGACCAGGCTGGCCTTGAACACAGAGATCCACCTGCCTCTGTCTCCCGAGGGCTGGGATTACAGGCATGCACCACTGTGCACAGCACAGTCCAGGTATTTTTTAAATCCAATTTTTTTTTATTTTGATGTAAAACAAGCCATACTATAAAACACCTTACGTTCTTAGTATGATTCGTTTTACACAGTTTCATATACCATTTTAATGTGTCCCTGATCAAGTAATATCTCTTGTCTGTTCATTATTGTATAAACAAATAACAATTTGGATAGATACGACTTTCTACGGGAATGTGTTGCTTCTTCCACATCCAAAGGAGTTTAAGGAATTAGTGGGAAAAGGACAAAATAACCTTTGAGACTAGAATCTTGAATTTGTTCTTAGAAAAGGAGCCAAATTTAGATTTGCATGGGAATGCATGGAAAGTTGTGCTTCTAACCCTGCGTGTTAGTGAGAGTCAGCTTTGGGGGGTAGTTTTTACTTTATTTATTATTACTGTAAAGGAGCATCTGATGTAGAGTAAGGGTAGCATGGTGCACGTGTAGGTGTCAGGGGACAACTTGGCAGAGTCACTTCTCTCCTTCCACGTTCACATAGGTTCCAGGGGTTGAACTCAGGCCATCAGGCTTGCATAGGACATACACCCATGGAGTCATATTGCTGGCCCAGTCTTGAGGAATTTTGATAACACTCAATTTGTCACATTGTGCAGTTACTCTGAGCTGAGAAATATAGACATTTCCCAGCGTCCAGTGCTTCGGCCTCACAGTACTGTGAAAGCAGCACCCGGGCGGCAGACAATGCACTTCAGCGTGGTTTGCCCTTCTCCTGGCTGGCGCCCGGTGTGCCCTGAGACGCTGGCACCAGCAGCTGGCTGCAGTTCCCGGTGGGTTCCCCGAGCACAGCAACAAACGGCTGGTGCTCCGCCATGCACTGTGAGGCTGCACTCTGACTGGGTGGGTTGGGCATCCTTCCTGCATTCCCAGCTTTCAGGATTGTGAAACTGATGACTCATTTTTCAAGCCATAATCCTTCAAAACTCATGTACATGAAAATATATATGCAGTATTCAAAGATTGAAAACTATTCCATATGTCGAAATGCAAATTATGTTGCTTCACTAGAAAACGTAAAGTTCATCTTAGCTTGTAAATATTTTGGTAACTAGGTAACCGGTCTCTCCCTTGGATGCTCTGTTTCTTAGGACTTTCTAAGTGGGTGCGGCAGCAAATTCAGCACCACTCGACCTTTGCCAGCGCCCTGGAGTCCCTGACTGAGTTTTCTGAAAGACACCAGAAAGTTACTCATAGACCCAAAAAAGATAACTGCATAAAAGACAATGGGCCCACTCTGGAAGCGTCCTGTTTGGAGGATAGCGCTCTTACACGTGTGGCAGAAGCAAGCGATCTATCGCCAGAAAAATCGAGAAAAGAAGAAGCAAAAGCGCATGTCCAGGAGCCTCGGGATCCCCAGGCGGCTGCTAAAAACCCACCAGCGCCACGTCACCGCGTGTCCAGAAGGGAGAAAAGTACGTTGAATTCTGCCCGTTTACAGTAGACAGAAAAATCTTTCATTATATGAAAGTGAAAGGATACTGATTTAGGTACAGATTAATTTCCTGAAATATACTGGTTTATCACATGAAGTGTTCATAAAGTAAAACAGTATGTTTAGATGAGGATAGGCCATTGTTAGGGTACCAAAGTGCATTTTATGGTTCCCATTGGCCTTGCCGCTTTCTAGCGTGATTGTGAACAAAGCCACTAAAGTTATGATAGAAAAGTGAGTAGCTTCCCTACCTGACCCTCTCAGCTTGATTGTAAAGCTCAAAGAAGATAATAAATATCATAGCATTGTAAAACGCTATGCAAACGGTAGGCATTATTTTAAAGGCTTTATAAACTGGTTATCTCGATAATCTCAAGAGACTGGGGGCTGAGGTAAGAGAACTAGGAATGCCAGGCCAGAACCGGCAAGATGGCTCAGCAGGTAAAGGTGCTCACATTTGACCCCTAGAATCCAGAAAGAATGAGCCTACTTCTGCAAGGTGTCCTATGAGCTCCACATATGCGCCATGGTGTGTGTGCCCCCGCCCCCGACACCGCGCGCACATAATAACTAAATGTAAAGCTTTAGATAGAAGGAATAGTAACATGGAAGCATTAAATTCAGAAAAGGCTAGCCTTAGCTGCAGCAAGCCTCTGTAAACTAAAGCTCCCGTTTAGAGCCGCCCCTTCTTTGAACCTGAAATGTGAGTCATTTGTTCTAAATAATAAAAAATAATGTTTTAAAATGTTAGAAATCTTTGTCTATATGAGGGATTCATGAACCCTAGCCCATCCTGTTGGCTCGTTTTATGATTGAAGTGTAATGCAACTAGGTCATATTCATTTGCTTTTACACAATACAAAAAAAAAACCAAAAAAGTTGAGTAATTATATTCTCATCCTAGAATACCATACTTGAATAGTTGAGGAAGACATGATGTAGACCACAAAACCTAAAATGTTTGCTATCTTCCCTGTAACAACAATAAAAAACCCTGCCGTATTCTGGTGACCGGATATAATTTTAATTTGTGTATCGGTGCAGCTTAACATACCTATTCAAATCTTTTGTGCTGTGCTTTTAAGTAAGCATCAGAGTATCGTCAGGGCTGCTAGGGTGATTATCAGGAAGCTCAGGATCCATTTCTGATCTTATATGCTGACCAACTTTATAATTTGAGAAATAGCACACATAGCCTTGCAGTCCTCAGTGTCCTTGTTTTTTAAAAAAGAGGGTTAGTCCTGGGCAGTTTTTCTTAGTCACTGATAAGTGGATTTTTTGAGCCAGATTTCTCCATTTTCTTCTTCCCTGTTCAGTGCTGGAGTCTCGGGCATACTAGGGCGTTGCTCCACACTGTAGGGCTGTCCCAGGCAGCGCCCCTCTCCTCCCTTCACTGGGTCATCCTCCTCCTCCTTTTTCACCCTTCCTCTTCTCAGCCAGCGTTGTGCTCTTCATTGCACTTATATGATCATTTGCAAACCGCATTATAACTCAGGCCAGGAAGTACTGGAGATCTGCCGTTCTCTCCAGGGTTGACATTCTCTCCTTTAACTTCTGAGATGAAAGTGGTGGTGGGTGCTGAGCTATGTGTTTTATACTGCTGTTAAAGTATTTCTAATAAAAAAACGCTTTAACTCGCTGTGTGACCTAGCGACACGGAGTTGACAATTAAATGTTTGCATTCTTAGGTGGTCCAGTACTAAGAGAAGAGTCTGTTCAGACAGTGAAAACAGAAAAAAATATGATTTCCAGATCCTCAAGCCCAACTTTCGGAAAACAAATAGAGCCAGTCAGCTGGCCTATCTTTAATTCTCTGAGACAGCATTTCACTAGTAAAGTAAAGGATTGCACACCTGCTCTCAAGGCATCAGAGAACCATGCCTCTGGTTTGTCCACCTCCAGAACAGAAAATAAAGCTGCTTTGCCACTGACAGGTAAATGTGTACCCTCAAATGAAGCAGCAGACACGCCATTCACAGCTTGCCCTCAGCCAGAAATCATGATTTCATCAATGAAGGCTGACGTTACTCCTGCTAAGAGCCATGGCAAACAGCTGTTGCACTCTGAGAAAGAAGACCTCCATCCGAATGGCGAATCGTCTCCAGAGAGTGAAGAAGCCGAGTGCTCCAGTTCAGAAGACGCTGTTGAAGAAGAGGACTCCGAATGTTTCACACCTGAACTTTTTGATCCTGTCGATACAGATGAAGAAAACATTGAACTAGTTGAAACTGATAGATCCAGTAATAATTCCGATTGTTTTTCAGCTGAAGACCTTTTGGAAACTGTAGCTGAATTCGGACAAAAGTGAAAGTCGAAAGTTTCACAGACACAAGGTTGAATGGAGTCACAGCAGTGGAAGAGAACAAAGCTGACAACTTGTATAAGTGAATTAGAGCTGGGACAACTCATGAATAGACATGAGGACCTGTAAGCAGTAGGGGGAGGGGCCCCGGTATTAGGTAATGCTGTCAGGCTTTTGTTAAGCCTTGTTGTGTAAATAGTAATTTGTACATTGGGCAGATGTTAGCATTTTAATTTTTCAGATATAGTTTTCATTTTAATTCATCAGATTTTAAACTTATTTTATGTTCAAAAATAACAAGCTTTATTACAGAGTTTTAATTAGTCTATACAGAGTACTTTCCTCTATTATTTAGTTTCCTGGGGCACTTCCAATTGCACACAATGACTCATAATTTATAGTTCACTTAATGTGTTTTCATGCTAATATACAAAGATTAATCTCAGTTAAATCTTGCCACACTTCAGCCATATGTTACTGTATATCTTAATTCAAATTCATAAAAGATGTTTTTAGAAATCGTAGTTTATCTCCAAAAGTTTGCCGTTTCATTAGCCTGCCTTAGATCGGGAATGGCGCTTACAGCTACTCTTCCAGCCTATGGAATATAGGCTCAGGGCCAGCCAGGGCTGTGGAATGAAGCCCTCTTTCAAAGTCAAAAGAAAAAAAAATGTTTAGAACTAGTTTATTAGACAAATTAAAGGAAAGAACATACATATTTAATTGAAACTGGGGTTTTTTTGTTGTTTGCTAAAACTAAAATATAAGAAACAAAATTATATGCAGTTCTAGAATGCCATTTGAAATAATCCAGATATCAATTCTAATTATTGTGCTTCTCTGTCATCACAGAAAATGGTGTGCTTTAACCTCTGTCCTCCTCACACATACCCACAGATCATGATACACTTGTGTGCAGAGACACATTACACATACACAGATACACACACGAAAATAATACACAGATCCTAGCAGTACCAAAGACATGATACATTCAAGAATAAAGTTTTAATTCTGTAACTATTAAGATAGAAACCCTAGTGTGTAAATTTAATAAATAAGCAGATGTTACACACATACACATTTATATACACACAAATAAAAAACAGTCCCTGAAATATGGTCTCTTAAAGAACGAGAATCTACTGTGAATTTCGAGTGTGTGTAAGTTTTAGAGGCTGGAACTATATCTGATCAAAAATTTTTATAAAAGATGGTCATCTCTGACATTTCAAAACTACATCCACTGGTTCCCCCGCCCCCCAAAGAAAATATTTGGACATTCAAGACTTTTTATGGTGATTTGAAGTGGGAGTGTGGTGTCTATCTGTGTAGCTGGAAATCAAGCCCAGGGCCTTGCATGCTAAGCAGGCATTCTAGCATTGGGCATTCTAGCATTTTATAAGCGTGCTTTATTATCAAGTCAAAACTCCCAGTAACTATATTTTTATGTTCATCTGGGCAAGTGAATTATCATATATGCATGTATTATGTATTTGCCTTCGCTTTGATAGCACTTAGATTTGACACATGAAATTTGAAAATTGACACATAAAAATTAACTGCTTACCAAGTAAGCTATCTGTGGATTTAGAAGGTGATTTCTACATTCTTTTGAAAAGGAGAAACCATGTCTTCTTTTGCAGTAGGCTGGTCCTGGAAAGAATTCCCGGTAGAATGTTCCCACTGGGCCTCAGGCTTGCTGCTTATATGGCAGCACCACGCCTTTCGTGGGATTAGTTTCATTTATAAAATATGGACTTAAATACTATAAAGGCTTGCAAATCCCTTTAAGCAATTTAAAGGAATATCTATTGATATTTTCTTTCTGTGTCCGGCTTTGTTCCAAAATGCGTACAATAAAGCATACCATTGTGTAGAAAAGGTCAGATGACTTACTTATCTACATTCTGGGAATATAAGTATGTGTGTAGTAACTTAGAAAGCTGGATATTTATTTTAACTGATACAATTTAAACATTTTTGGTATCTTTGGAGTTGTTTCCCCCCTCGCTCTATTTTTGTTGTTGTTTGGTTGGGTATTTTGTTTTTGTTTTAAGATGGGATTTCATGTATTACATTCTGGCCTTGAATTCCCAATCCTCCTGTCTCCACCTCCCATGTGCTGGGTTTACAGTGTGCTGAATCACACCGACCTTAAAATTACCTTCAGAAGAATCATTAAACTGCATGAAAAACGTCAAAGACATCATTTTACAGCCAGGTACCCAACTTAATCACAAATATCATCCATCTTAGTTTGGGTTTCATTGCTCTGAAGAGACATCATAACCATAGCAACTCTTAGAAAGGACAGCATTTAATTGGGGCTGGCTTACAGTATCAGAGGCTTAGTCCATGATCATGGCAGCACGCAGATAAACAAGGTGCTGGAGGAGCTGAGAGTTCTACATCTTGATCCACAGGCAGTAGAAGGAGACTGTGTACCACACTGACATAGCTTGAGCATAGGAGACCTCAAAGCCCTCCCCCACAGTGATGCACTTCCTCCAAGGCCACACCTCCTAATAGTGCCACTCCCCATGGGCCAAGCATTCAAACGTGCATTTATGGGAACTATACCTATTCAAACCACCACACTTTTATCTTCCCCTGCATTATTTTTTTTTCCAAAAGCTAATAGTCTCTGCATATTACTGAGGAGTTTGCAGAGATGTTCCACAAGCTCTCAGTATTTCAAAATTGTTTAACTTTTTTTAGATCAAGGAGTCTGCTCAGATCATCATTCTAGCAAGATGATCATCCAAAAAGCAAATAAACTACAGGCCCTTTGAGAGTAGGAGATATACTGTTTTCACTAGTGATGACAAAATATGTTTTTCAAGCTAAAATTGAAGCATGGGAAGTCCTGTAAAAGAGTACCTAGCACATGGCAAGTCACAGCCAGTGAGGTCAGCCAAGCCTCTGCAGTGCTCCCTGGCTTCTGTGAGGCTTTCCCGAACTATGGGCAGATCAACTGACGACAAAGAACTGTTAGTGATCAAAGGAAACATTCTTTGGCTGGTTTATTTTTCAAACTTCTGAAATATGTAGTAGAAATTATCAAGTAATTTGTCTTGAGTGTTTAATACATGCGAAGGGATGATTTAACATTGCACTCCTCCAAGGACTGAAAGTATATGCAGCACTTAGGCTTTGCGCCGTGAACTCTACTAGTTGGAGAATGGCCTTTGTTTGTGGAAGAAAGGTTCGATTTAAAGAGTAGATTCTTTTCGTGACTCGGTAGCTGAAGAACCACTTAAAGCTTTCTCAAATTGTGTAGGAAATTAATGGGGCCTCTTAACTATGTTCCTACTGTGCATTTTATTATTACATGGTCTTGAAAGTTAGGGCACTGTTTCTGTGTGTTTATTTCTCCTCTTTTGATCTTTCTATTCAATACAATAATTATTTAAAAAAGGAGCCATTCACACATTTTTCTAAAGTAGGGATTTGCCATGTTTTCTGCTTATAAGAAAACACAAAGTATTTAATCTTTCAGAAGTGCTTATGCACGTCTCCATGCAAAGTGCCTGTTGTGACATCACTTGAAGGACTGGCTATCAGAAGGACTTGTAGGCATCCAAAGCTAATGGTATTGTTTTTATATTGGACTGCCTCACAGTTCTCACTCTCTTTCATCAGTGAGCTACACAGAAATATAATTTTTATGAATTTTGGTAGTCTTGTCTCTCTGCATAGGGAAAGGCACCGGTATCTTTTGTAAAGAAGTATTTATAATGGAATGTTTCTTAATTTAAAAAAAAAAAGTAAGTCCATATCAGGCGGAAGCTAAAGCTTTCTTGTGCAGTATCCATACTATGAAACAATGAAGAAATCATAGAAAAGGGTATTTAGAACAAAAGTGACCAACACTACGATCCACTGGGCCTAAATGATTTTCATGTCTTTTCCTAAAGAGTTGTTTAGTAAAGTTTTATTTGATGGGACCATTAGTAGCCTGGCTTCCTGTGTCTCACTTTGTAGCTTTGTTATAATGTCAGTGGGATCTGAGCTATTGGATCAGCTTATTGGCACGGCCACCTTCTAGTAACTCGGTACTCTTGGACTAGATCCAAAATAACCCATGTTCCAACAAACGCCACTCTAATAAACAAGTCTCATTCCGTTAGAAAGAGTTACACGAAACTTGCTTTTTTCAGAAATAAAGGATTGAAAATCGAACAGACATACTGACTAAAGGAACATTTTTAAACAACTAATACTTTTATTCATTGAGACAAGATATCACTAAATTGTCGAACACAGAATCTTCCTCCCTCAGCCTCCCAAGCCCTGAGATCACAGGCATACACCACCATTTTCGGAGCTATGTGTGTAGCTCAGCGGTAGAGCTCATGCTGAGTATGTGTGAGACCCTAGGTTTGGTCCCTAGCAGTCATACATAGTAAAAGTTATGCATATACTACATGCATACACACACACACACACACATACATACATACATGCCATATATGGGTGCTGGAACTGGAACTCGGATCCTGTGGAAGTCAAATGTGTTTGTTTTCCCTAATGTTATATTTGCTGACTAGACGAATTGAAAGGAGCTTTTTCTTCTGCTGTTTTGTTGTTTCTGTAGTTTTAGACATCTCATGCAGCTCAGGCTGACCTTAAATTTGATATGTAGCTAAAATGGATCTTGAACTCCTGGGCTTCCTTCCTGTACCAAGCGCAGGGGTGATAGACATGTGCTGCCACACCCAAATGGAGTGGAAACGTCTAGTAATTATGCATTTCTTGGCTCTCACTTGTGCTTATTTCATTTGACAACTCCTAGACTCTTAACTTTTCTTTTTTCCAAATTCATATCCTAACATTTCATTCTCCCACTCTTTCTCCAATCGTATCACTAAACCTTTATCTCTTCAGTGGGGGCCAGGATTTTCTTTACAGTCAAGGATGTACCTTTACCAACTTCATCTACAAGAGAACTTGGGTTTCTGCAACATTGTTTGAGATAAGCAGCATTAATCTGATATAGTTGAACTCTAAAATATGAGTTGTATTTCAATTAATTAGCTATGTTTTTGTAAAAGCCTTAGATTCCCATTACAAAACTGCCGGAAAATTGATTTTCCTTGTTTACATCCAAAGAAAATGTTTATTGTATATTGAAAATATAGGATGTGTAATTCATTATTTAATTTTTTGATATACAATTAATTGTCCTACACATTGTGACCTAAAATAAGCTTTAGGCTGGGCAGTGGTGGCACACACCTTTAATCCCAGCACTTGGGAGGCAGAGACAGGTGCATGTCTGAGTTCAAAG